TCACCTACATGAATCAGTCACACCCCACACTGCCTTGTCTGGGCCTTGATTTAGGGATAAGCTCCCCAAATGGATGGGCAGGCTCCGTGGGAGGGCTGGAGTTGCCTTCAGCTGTTTCTTTGAGTTCCCAGGTAACCAAGGACTAAAGGGAGGGGGCCTGAAGACAGGTCTCTCCTGCAGCTCAGGGATGCCTCCCCTTGGCAAGGCCAGGCCTGTGTGACTCAGAGGGTAGGGCAACCCAGGGAGCTCTCACCGCCTTGGGCACCCCCAGACCTGTCTAGCCAGTTTGTCTGTATTTACCACATGGGCATTTGATTTCTAATTTCTCATTAGCATCAGCCTAGGGGTGACCAGATCAGAGTGAGGGGGAGAAGAGGTCACCCCAGAGGAAAGTACAGTCTTTCCTTCAGCGGCTACTCAGGGTTAGCGCTTGGAAGTATAGGGCAGCTCTGCCTTGAGCTCGGGGAGACATTGTTCTCCCAGAGGCTGTGACAAAGCCCCAAGACCCAGCTCTGTTTGAGGCTGGGTCTCTGTGGATCCCTGGCTGTCCTGGAACTCATAGATCCTCCCACTTCTGCCTCACGTTCTGGGATTACAGGTGCAGGCCACAAGCCTGGCCTCTGTTCTTGTCCAGGGCAGGCCTTCCCTTCCTTGGGTCCAGCATTCTTTTTATTATTGTTATCATCACTGATATTTCATTTATTTATTTCGTGTGCGGGCGCCATGCGCACAGATGACTCAGGGGTCAGAGGATGACAGCATGCGGGCTCCAGGGATTCGCTCAGGCCATGCGGCAGGCTTGGCAGCACGAGTGGATAGAGAGTCTTTATCCTCCGAGTTATCTCACGGGCTCATTCCCCACCCTATACCAGGAGTGAACCCAGCGTACTGCACACCCTCGACAAGAGCTCTGTGACTGAGCCCCGCCCCGGCACTTGTAAAACGAGATCCGGCTACCTGGAGCCCAGACTGATACTAACTTTCAGGCCTCCTTGCTGCGGCTCCTGGGAGCTTAGGCCTGCACCACCATGCTGGCAACATGTTCCCACCCACTTCTGCTGTCTGGTGGCTCTAGCCAGTTCCTCAAAGCCCCCAGAACAGCGAGGTGAGTAGACCTGGTGGTCAGACGGCAAACTCCAGGAAGGTTGATCTCCAGGAATCAACCCAAGCTGGTGTCAGAGTTTACCATGCCCCCTCCTGTGCATTATAGTCACAAGTCACAGTTGGGGACACCTAGAGGCCCAGAGAGAACAAGGGCCTGGCCCTCTGTCACTCCACAACAGGGTTGGGACTGGGGACAGGTACCCGATGGCCAACTCCAGGGCCCAGCCTGGTCTCCAAGGAGCCCAAGGGTCTGTTTCATGATTGGGCTTGGGTTGTGGACACTTGAGAAAGTATTTTCCTAGAGTAGGGACATCGGAGGGCACCTCTTTTTGAATGCGTCCCTGGCTGGCTCTTGAAAGGTACTCAAGATGAGGGGCCATTCAGAAGATGGCCCAGGCAGAGCTCAAAGACCCTTACTGTTCCTGTCACCCTTTTCTCAAGTGACGATGCATCGTGACTCTCCTTCCCTGCCTCCTGGCCTGGGTGGTGTCTTTTTGCAAGTTGGAGGGTAGGGAAGGGCTAAGGACCTCAGAGGTTTAATACAATGTCAGGCAAAGGGGGCAAGGCTCAGGTACTGGCCCAGGGTCCCTCCCACACTGACATGGGGCTGGGGGCCGGTGTGCGTGCACGCATGTGCGAGCCCACACACACCTGGGGCACTGGAAGAAAGCCCAGCGCTATGGAAGGGGTCAGAGATTAGAGTGGAGAACATGAGCTGCTCAGCTGCCCTCCAGGAGCAGCTGGTAGATGAGGCCCTAAGCTACTCCAGACCCGTAACCTGAAGCAGGATCTGAGCTGCAATTAGACCAAGCACACCAGAGACGGCTTCAGTGGGGCCTGCAGGTCCTCAGCGAAGACCACTTTAGACCCTTTGAGGCTCCAAGGGTCTCAGAACCAAGAGGCAGCAGGGCAGGGATGGAGAGGGCCAAGCCAGGGAGATGCGAGTGTTTTGTGCCAAGGCTGCCAGGTGGGGCATGGAGGGACGGTCAGGGTCAGGGCAGTCTGAAGGGCATCTGGCTGTAGAGGGCTTGGGTCTACAGGACCATAAGCAAGCCATTTCCTGTCTCAGGGCTATAGCTCTGTGGCTGTAAAATGGGGGTTTGGAGGGGGGGCCCTCTGTGTGTCTGACCTCTGTAATGATGATCACAGAGTGGGTGGGACAGATAGCAGCCCCACCTGTCGTTCCTTACTTAACCGGCACTGAAGGAATGTGGGTTCAGTTCCTGGTCTATAAAGGACAATCCCATGGACCTAATTGGGCTTTAGTTGTTGGTTTGACAAGTGTTTTCTCTCCCATTCTCCATAGTGGGGCCTTCCTGATGGGTCCAGAAAGAATGCTCCCAGGGCAAGTCCCCAGGAGGCCCCAGTACTCCAGGCCTGAGCAACCCTCCAAGTGGGAACTGTGGTAATCTTCCACCAGCTTCCCTAGGGGCTGCCCAGATAGAGGTGTTGGGGAGGGAAGTAACGGCACGCACGAAAGGCCCAGAGTGGGCAGGAGGGAGAGATGTAGGAGAGTGGAGGGGGCCTCACCGACCCTGTAGTCATGGGTCAGGGAGGGGTCAGGACAACGGGAGCCAGTCACCATCTAACGACCAGTCCAGGGACAGGCATGTCCCACACCACCATCCCCAGTATGTGCTATGGGTCGATGAGAGGACGGAACGAACTCACATCTAGAAACAGGACGGCAATATCATCGTGGCTGCCGCAGCCTTACACACAGCTATACGCATCTCGGGAAACAGGGTGGTCAGGATTTAGGGTGTTTTTTTATTTTTTCCCCCCTTTGGTTTCTCTTTCTTTTTTGTTTTTTGAGACAGGCTTTCTCTGTGTAGCTTTGGAGCCTGTCCCGGAACTCACTCTATAGACCAGGCTGGCCTCGAACTCACTGAGATTCACCTGCCTCTGCCTCCTGCATGCTAGAATTAAAGGTGTGTGCCACCACCATGTGCCCTTTTGTTTGTTTATTTTTGGAGACAGGGTTTCTTTGTATAGCCTGGAACTAGCTGTTTTTTTGGTTTTTTGGAAGGGGGTTGTTTTGTTTTTAGTCTTTATGTTGGAAGTGGAAATTCTGTATCTGTCTGTGTGCTGCTTTTGTTGTTGACATGACAAGGTGTCATGTAGCCCAGGCTAGCCTCAAACTCATTATGTAGTTAAAAATGACCTAGGACTTCTGATTGTCCTGCCTCTACTTCCCAAGTACAGCAATCACAGGAAGGCTCAAACTGTCCTGTTTTGTTCGTTTGTTTTTGTTTTTTATAATGCTGAGGACTGAATCCTGAGGATCATATAAGCACTTTGTCAAGTGAACTACAACCCCAGCCTCTGAGATCACTTTTAAACAGAAAATAAGAGATCTGAAAGGCACGGTTATTTTAGACAGGGCCTCAAGTAGCCCAGGTTTGCCTTTACTTGCTATGTAGCCAAGGATGACCTGGTCCCATACCCCAAATGCTGGAGCTGAGGGGCTTCCATGCTCAGCCGTGTTCTGTAGTGCTGGGAAGTGAGCTCAGGGTCATTTATTTCTTTTTAGTTTGTGTGTGCTTTGTTTTCTGGGCCCTTTGAGACAAGGTCCCCTGTGCCCAGGCTGTCCTTTGTTTTCTGGGCCCTTTGAGACAAGGTCCCCTGTGCCCAGGCTGTCCTTTGTTTTCTGGGCCCTTTGAGACAAGGTCCCCTGTAGCCCAGGCTGTCCTTGAATGCCCGATTCTCCTGCTCCAGCAAGTGCTCAGATTACAGGCTGAAGCCACCACATGGACCATCCACTTTTTACTTTGAATAGAGCACCTAGAAATTTTAAAATCACGCATTGACTTGCATTTCATTTTGATTGAACAGCCGTAGAGAACCCAGCAACTGTCCTGGCACTAAACAGAACCATTTGCCAGAGGTCCTTTTTTAACAGGCACTTGCTTGGAGCGTGGAGGTCAGGGGGCAGCTTGCAGCAGCTGGCGCTTTCCTTTTACTGTGTGGGTTCTGGGGAACCGAACTTAAGCTGAAGTCACCAGGTTTGGTGGCAAACACCTTTGCCTAACCATCTTCCAGAACTCCCGAGCAGTTCTTGGGTCTGGAGAGATGGCTCACTGTTCTTACACAGGACCTAGGTTCCATTGCCAGCATCCACATGGCTGCTCACAAGTGCTTGTAATTCTACTTCTAGGGGTTATGATTCCCTCTTCTGCTTCTGATGCAAACATACATAAAAGCAAATACCCATACAGATAAAATACATACATACACATATATACATATACACATACAATACATATCTACTTAAGGGTCAAACATCCATACAAATAAAAATGTATATACAGATATACAATACATATATATACATATTATATATATGTGTATGTATGTGTGTATAAGGTGTTTGTTTTGCTGGGAAAAATTGTAATTCTAGTACTTGGGAGGCAGAGGCAGGAAAATCATTAAAGATCCAAATAGCAAGTTTCTGGATAGCCAGGGCTAGCAAGATCCTGTCTTGGAACAAAAGATGAGAGTTTTTTGTTTCCTGTAGTTTCATATGTGCGTGCGCACGCGCACACACACGTCTCAGATGCCCTTCTCCCACGTGTCACTACTGTGTGTCCCAATGAGGAAGTTCAGTTGCCACCTCTTCCAGGAAGCCCTCCTTGACTATCCACAGTGAACACACTGGCTGCCTCTGCCTGGCTGCATCCTTACAGTGGGCACAGAGAGCAGAAGTGCCAGCTACGTCATCCCTGCACCCAGAGCCTGGTAGGAAGTCACCGGCCATTAGTAAAACTAACACCTGCTGTGCATGGAGCTGGCGCCCACCACTGGGTGCCTCTCCTAATCCCAGGCTGATGTCTGTGGCGGGCAAGGTGCCCACCCGGAGCGAACTCGGAGTTCAGGCCTAGGCACTGAGCACTTACCAGGGGAAGGAAGGTCAGCAGGGGCCGGACTCTCGGCCGGGCTTTCAGCGTGGCTGTTCCAGATTCACTCACAGTGTTGAACCGACTGTTTTCATAATAGATCCCATCTAAAGGACAGAGAGGGGACAGTGAGCTGGGGATCCAAGGAGGTGACTAGGCCTTGAGGTTGCCAGGTGTGACTCAGGAACGCCCCTCTGACACAGCGAGGTCCCACAGACAAAGGTGTGCTAGTGGCAATTCTAAGATCACTCTGTGGAAGGGACTTGGGCTGTGCTCTCAGGACGTTCGGCCCCCAGCAGCCACTATTCTTCCAACACCCTGCCATACGCCCTCCTAACCCTCCACGTCCACACAGCGCCTGCCGTACGCCCCCATAACCCTCCACGGCCACACAGCGCCTGCCGTACGCCCTCCTAACCCTCCACATCCACACAGCGCCTGCCGTGAGCCCTCCTAACCCTCCACGGCCACACAGCGCCTGCCGTACGCCCTCCTAACCCTCCACGGCCACACAGCGCCTGCCGTACGCCCCCATAACCCTCCACGGCCACACAGCGCCTGCCGTACGCCCTCCTAACCCTCCACGTCCACGTCCACACAGCGCCTGCCGTGCGCCCCCATAACCCTCCACGTCCACACAGCGCCTGCCGTACGCCCCCATAACCCTCCACGTCCACACAGCGCCTGCCGTACGCCCTCCTAACCCTCCACATCCACACAGCGCCTGCCGTGAGCCCTCGTAACCCTCCACATCCACGCAGCGCCTGCCGTACGCCCCCATAACCCTCCACGTCCACACAGCGCCTGCCGTACGCCCCCATAACCCTCCACGTCCACACAGCGCCTGCCGTACGCCCCCATAACCCTCCACGTCCACACAGCGCCTGCCGTACGCCCCCATAACCCTCCACATCCACACAGCGCCTGCCGTGAGCCCTCGTAACCCTCCACATCCACACAGCGCCTGCCGTGAGCCCTCGTAACCCTCCACGTCCACACAGCGCCTGCCGTACGCCCTCCTAACCCTCCACGTCCACACAGCGCCTGCCGTACGCCCTCCTAACTCTCCACGTCCACACAGCGCCTGCCGTGCGCCCTTGTAACCCTCCACGGCCACACAGTACCCTGCCATGTGCCCTTGTAACCCTCCACGGCCACACGGCGCCTGCCGTGAGCCCTCGTAACCCTCCACGTCCACACAGCGCCTGCCCTGAGAGCTAGGCCAAAGCCTGAGCTCATCTGGCACAGAAGAAAACAAGGTTGTTTCTCTCAGCTGTTTGTGTTTCTAATCCGGAACAAGCAGGTCAGAGGACCTACCTGCTCCCCCTGTGGCCAGTACCCCCCTCACACCCCTGTAGGTCAAGTGCTCCCAAACCACCATCAACGTGTGACTGTGTCCATCTTGCTTCAAGGGTTAAGAAACAACCCAGCTCTGCCACTGGCTGTACATGTTGTTTAACCTCCCTGGGCCTCAATTTTCCCATCTGTACAATGGAAATTATGGTGCCAACCTTATAACAGCTCTGAGGTATAGATGTGGCCAGTGCAGAGAGGAACTGAACAACTGTAGCTCCCTCCCCCAAGGGAGGATGACGCTCTGGGCTGACCTGTGAAAAGCAGTGTTCCTGTTCTCAGAGGGCTCCCTTGTGACCTTTGACATCATTGATAAGGATTCCCCATTTCCTCCCAGGCTCGCACTGTCACAGCTACGGGCCTCCTGCTTTATGGGTCATAAGACAGAAGGCACTGTCGTGTTTAACAGACTGGAGGAAACGAGAGGCCGTCTCCTCTCCATTGAAAGAGGAAAAAGGTCAGAATCTCAATTAGTCAAAGCCTGGTGTCATGTGCCTTTAATCCCAGCATTCAGGAGGCAGAAGCAGGCAGAGTTCCGGAACAGCAAAGTCTACGTAGTGATACCCCGTCCAAAGTAACAAATCCTAGTTAACCAGAATCCTGTTACATGGAAACAGAGAATCCTTTCCTCCTCACATATTTTAGGAGGAAATTACAAGAAAACCCAATAATTTATTTAAAAGAGACTGAGCTAGGCTGGTGAGGCGGCTCACTGGGATTGCTTCCTAAGCCTGTTAGCCTTAGTTCAATCTCCAGGACCCACATGGAGGAGGAGAAGGAGTGACTCAAACTCTCCTCTAATCTCCATGCGCACACGTACTACATACACGTGCATGCACACACAAGTACCACACACACATATACCACACACATACTCCACCTCAATACGTAGATTTGCCGTGGGACAGTTTCCAGTGCTGCTTGGAGCTTTGTGAAGGAACATGATTCCCCAGCCCCCAGTCTGGGTTGCCAGGCTCTGGTCCGAAGACTGGACACAGACAATGGCCAGGGTGCGGCAGAGAAGAAGCAGACTGCCGAAAATGCTGGGCAGAGCAGTTGGTTCTAAACCTGACCCATGTTCCCAAGATGGTGGGCGTTCTGTCCTTACCATCTTACAGTCTCAAATGCTGGTGCTTGAGAGACTGAGAAAAGAGGAAGGCTCTGAGCTTCAAGCAAGCATAGACCACACAGTGACTTCCAGGTTAGTCTGAGCTACACTGAGACCTTGTCCCGAAAACAAAACAAAATTCTGGGCTGGTGAGATGGCTTAGTGGTTAAAAGTACTTACTGCTAAGGCTCATGACCTGAGTTTGATCCCCAGGACACACACACACACACACATACACACACACACACACACACACACACACAGTGTGACAAAGAGAAAGGGAGAGACTCCTTAAATATCTCTGACCTGGAACTCAAAGAGACTCACCTGCCCGTTTGCCTCCCGAGTGCGGGGATTAAAGCATGTACCACCATGCTCAGCAAAGTCTTTTTAAAAGAGAAAAGGGCAAAGCTAATAGGAAAGGGGCAGTGGCTAGACTGGCAGGCCTGTCCCAGGCCCTGCCAAGTGAGGGACAGCATCAGAGAAGGACACTATGGCCATCATAAGCCAAATTTTTCCCCCAAGGCTCAAGGTCAAGGACCTGAACCAGATAGAATTCCAGGAGTCCACCCTCATGGAATTTCCTCTTAAAGCAGCCGAACTCTGTGGATCACAGTGTCGGGAACCCTGGAATGGGCCTTCCTGAGAAGCAGCCCCCTCTTCAGGCCAGTGAGACAAGGACGGAGGAGAGGAAAAGAAGGGGTGAAGGTGGCTGGAAGGCAGGTGGATAGGGTTCCTTGACACAGCGATAGCCCCAGTCAGAAAGCCAGGCCCATCTTCTTGACTGTAGGCCCACTGGAAGGGGCTATGTGCCTAGAGGTTCTGGCAGTGCCGAGCGCGGGGATGCAGGGCGGACTCAGAGGGTCAGAAGGGCAAGGACCTGCACTCAGAGAGGCTTCCAGAGGAAAGGGCAGAGGACCTTCAGGAATGTCCTGAAAGAGAGCCTTGTGAGTGAGGTGTGAGTCTTAACTGAACCACAGACAAACCAAGCACTGGGAAGAGAGTCCAGCAAGTAAAGGTACTCGCTGAGAAGCCGGGTGGCCTGGCATTGTCACTGGTGCCCACATGGTGGAAGGAGAGGACTGATGCCCGCAACTGTCCTTTGTGCCACACAGTGGCACTGAGGACATAGAAACACATGCACACCACTGAAAATTACACAGTAATGTTTAAAAGTCAAAGGAATCACGAGCACACGTTGGTATCGCCCCCCCCCATCATCACTGATTCCCACCCCCTTTCTCCTGCTAAGAGTTTAAGGCTTTGAGCCTGAATCGGGTCAGATCCCCTGTGCCCAAGGGTAAGAGTCACCAGGAGGGATGTGGCCTCTTGCTTTCTTGCCAGGCTTCATTGTGAGTTCTGATGCGTGGGGCTGCCTTCTTGGCACACAGGAAGACCGAGGCCCATAATGGAAGGGACTGGACCAAGGCCACAAGGGCCCAGTGGTGTCAGGGTTCACAGGGTCCCAGACAAGCCTTCAGTACAAACAATGTGGTGTCTGCCATGGCCTGGAGCTCAATGCCTCCATAACAGGCCTGTCTGGTTCTCTGGCCTGGGGTGGGGCTGGCATATGGCTCTGAGTCTGTGTTTGACCTAGGGGATGCCTTGGGGAAGCTGAGGACTCACCACAAGCTGCGTGCAGACTCTGAGTCCTTTCTTCCTACCCTTCTCCCCAAGAGGAGGAGCCCATGGGACCTTCTGCAAGTCTGCTCCCACAGAGCTCAGGTTGAAAACCTTTTAGTGAAATGTGCTTTTTGTTCCCCAGGCCCAAATCTGGCGAGGGATCTCCACGGTCACTGAGGCAGAGATATTCTGGGACAGTGACTTAGTTCATGTTCTCTGAATCCTAGATCTGCCCAAAGAAGCAAGAAAATTAACTAATAAATAAATAAATCCCTAACATATATTAAGTTACAGATACCTAGTATATATTAAGCATATACTATGATCGAGGCACTTTTTCCCCCTGTCCTGGAGCTCACTCTGTAGACCAGGCCAGCCTCGAACTCACAGAGATCCACCTGCCTCTGCCTCCTGAGTGCTGGGCGCTTCTTTTCTGTAGGTGAGGTCTTCCTCTAGCTTAGGCTGACCCGGAACTCACCTGCCTGAGCTACCCTGCCTAGTATAGGCATCATTTTTTGTCTTGCACTACAGGTAACTGAACCTGAGCCTTGTGTCTGCCAGGAAACCACTCTGGCGACCACTGAGCTAAACCCAGAGCTACAGGGAACCACATTCCAACCTTGTGCCTACCCTCTCTGTCGTGTATCCTGTGGGGAAAACACTCTTTCTAAAAAAACATTTGAAAACGTTGTTAGTGCGTGCATATTGGTTTTTTTTCTAACTAAATATTTTTTATTTATTTTACATACCAGCCACAGCCTGTTCTTGGGTGCATGTTCTTACGCATATGTGGAGACCTTCCTTCGCATGGGTTCTAGGGACCGAATGCAATACAGCAGCGCCTTTCCCCACCCGGCCATCTTCTGTGAGACAGGGTTTCCCTGTGGAACCCTGGCTGCCCCGGAACTCATTCTTTAGACCAGGCTGGCCTCACACTCAGAGATCTGCCTCCCGCACTGAGTCACCCTGCCAGCCAGGGAAAATACTTGAGGAACCTGAAGCTGGAGGAGGTTATATGCTCAC